ATACATTGCAACAATAGGACAAATTGTTACAGATTATATGCTTTTTAAATTTCGTCTTCTCACATATCCCAATCATACTTCAATTGTGCAAAGAGGTACGAGTTACTTCTATGTGATAGTTTGTGCGCTTTATTTTCTAGGAGTAGGTTCAGTACTTCTCTAAGTGATGGCATATCTTTAGATTTCCAGTACCTAGGCAAACAAGAGGTGGCCGCTTTAAGAATGTGGCCTATTATTATTTTGTTAATTCTGCTGACGGACTCAGGGAATTTCTTGAATAAAGCAAGCTCAGATGTGAAAGTGCCAATGTTTCTATCTACCTTAATGATTAGGTCATAAATATTTTTCCAGTATTTGGTTATTTTTGGGCAATACCACCATATGTGGGCCATATTTCCCAAACCGCCACAATCTCTCCAACACCGGTCAGAATACATGTTGTTCATGTGTAGTCTGGACAGAGCTAAGTACCATCGATACAAAATTTTAAAATGATTTTCAAAATGGTCAGAGCAAAAAGATATTCCCTTTAATGATTTAAAAAAACAAAACCAATCCTCTAACTCATATTGGGTTCCCAGCTCCGCCTCCCAAGATAGCATGTGCTTAAGTTTAACAGTGGGTTTGGTATTATGTAGTAAATAACACATTGATATTGTGCCCTTCCTATTTGGGTCGTTCAAAATTTTTTTTTCAATGGTGATAATTCTAACTCTTTGTAATTTTTATCGGTGTCTGATATATTATATAGTTCTTTCAGTTTCTCAATAACCAACATGCATTCTTCCTTGCAGTCATTCATCAATCTATGTTTAAATTGTAATTTTTCGTATGATAAAATAGTATTGCCGTGGAAAAAACTATCTATATTGTTCAAGTGGTATTTCTTCAACAGATCTGAGTCCAAAGAGGGCATATAGTGTTTCAGTAGTTCGATCGGCATAGCCCTATACAGTTTCACTGAGTGGCAATTGTTTTTAAACACTATATCCCAGGCTTTAAGGGTAGTTTTTGTCGATAGAAATAATTTAGCAACTCCAGGCCTTCTTTCAGGACTCAACCAGAGCAATTATTTACGTTGCAATGGGAGAATTTTAGCTTCCTCTATTTCCATCCATCGTGGCCTATTTACTTGACTATTGAAGCTAACAACCACTGCAGCATTCGTGGAAAAATAGTATTTCTGGATATTTAGCACTCCAATACCTCCATGGGATTTATGGTGCTGCAGGGATGTGAGCTTGATTCTGCTGGACTTGTTATTCCAGATGAACTTTAACATAAATGAATGCATTTTATTGAAAAAGGATAATGGGATGGATAGAGGTATAGTCCTAAAGTAACATAAAATTTTAGGAAGAATTAACATTTTAATCGAAGCAATTCTCCCTAGCCATGAGAACATCCCGCACCATCTCCCTATCTCTCTTTGTAAGTCCGGCCATGCTTTCTTTAAAGGACCACTATAGTGCCAGGAAAAAATACTCGTTTTCCTGGCACTACAGTGCCCTAAGGGTGCCTCCACCCTCAGGGTCCCCCTCCCACCGGGGTCTAGGGGGTGGAAGGGGTTAATCTTACCTTTTTCTCCAGCGTCGGGCGGGGGACTCTCCTCTCCTCTCCTCCTCCTCGGCTGAATGCACATGCGTGCCAGAAGCCCCAATACAAACCACACTATAAGTCAACACCAACGGTCCAGCATCAGAAAACACCTATTAGACAAAAAAAAAAAGAGTCCAGAAAGAGTAGTCAGGAGAAAAGAATATACGTACGATCTAAGACCAAGACTCAATTCCCACAAGACCAACTATAGGGACAAAGTGACCCAAGAAAGACCTAAATCTACTCATAATAACAAGGAATCAATACCTCTTGATAACAGGTATAATGCCTCAAGTAGATCACCTAGAGATGAGGGTTTTTGGCGCACCCACACCAAAGATCGACACAAGGTACAGGAGAATCATGGGAGATCTTCGGGCAAAAGGAGGAGAAGCTTAGAAAAAGGTGAGGTAGAGGAGGAATTTATATACAGAAAAGAATTAAGGGACAGGAAACACCACCAAATAACCACGGTGTCTTCAACCTAACCGATCAACCCCTCACCTTAGCAAGTATTATATGTAACTAACTCTAAAAGCCAAATTTTTAAGAAAATTATGAATAAGTACTGGCCAATTTTAAAAGAGGACCCCTTTTTGAATACAGTTCTGTCTGATCACCCCAGGATTGTTTATAGGGGAGTAGAGAACTTGAAAGATAATTTAGTGTGTAATCATATTAAACAAACTAAATCTACACTAAATATATTCAATGAGTCTGCAGGTTTCTACGGATGAGGCACATGTAGTGCCTGCAAAAATTCTGGAAATAAAAAGAGAACAATTAAAAAATTCCATAATCCACAAAAAAACAAAAGAGACATACAATATTAGGGAATGAATTACATGCTACTCAAAAAGAGTCGTATACCTGATAGTCTGTACCTGTGGGCTAGGATATATAGGAAGGACAGCAAGACCTCTCCAAGTTCGTATTCAGGAGCATATAAGGAACATTAAAAATGGCTTTGAAAAACACAGTTTGTCTATGCACTTTAAACAACATCACAATCAGGATCCAAAACAGTTACATTTTATTGGTATCCAGCTGGTTAAAACAGACTGGAGAGGGGACGATCTTATTAAAAAAATGGGACAGGTAGAGATGAAATGGATTTTTAACTTAAACACACTAATTCCAGGTGGCCTCAATAATGACCTTGAGATATGCCATTTTATCTAAAAATTGCTCTCTCTCTGTCCCTTTAAGAAATTATTCTTTTTACTTTTTTAAACTTTTAAATACTAAATTTTAATTAGAATTATTGGAAATTAACTACACACTTAGGGGAGTGATTTCATCCCTAGTACAAAAACTGGAAATGAATATTGATCATGAAATATATGCACTTTTCTGCACATTGAGTATTGACGTTATTAAGAATGTTAATAATTTAAGTAATATAAGAAGATTGCCTTTATATTAATTTTATATAAATTTTTCATAAAATTTACAGAAACTGTAACAAAAACAAATGTAATTAATTTTTTTGATTATATCACTTTAACTTTTAATTGACAATGATTAATGAAATCAATATATGATGAATAGGGAAGAAATCCATTCTGCAGTATATGTATTTACTATAGATACTGTTAAAAACAAGTATGAAACTGTATGAGAAGATACTAATATGTACCAATGTGTGTTTTTTCCTTCCTATTTTCTCTGTTTTATTCATTTTCTCTATTATGTACTGAGCACAATTTAAAAGGGTGGAATATGTATATATTTAACTTAGGGTGATGGGTGTCGGCGAACCAACCTGTTCTGCCACCTTTTTTTTTTTGCTTGAGGGTATGTGTCCACAAGCAAGATGGCTGCGATGAGAGCGGAAGTGATCCTGATCACCCTGATGAAAGGAAGGTAACCTCACAAGAAGTTAAATCCAGATTGGAGGATGGGATGGGAGGACCACCCACTGGATGAAGAAACCGGTATATTTCGAAAGCAGCATGAAGACAATGAGGATACCGATTGAAAAAGCCCCCATAGTGTGGGTGAAACTAATTACCGGACATTCTTTATCTTATATAGAAGCAACTGGATATTTTTATTTAATTCTATGTTTTTGTTTTTATATTTAAAGTTGCAATAAATGTATGTATTTTATACATATATAAGTCCCATCAGCTTCTAACTTCATTTTGCTACTAAAGAAGGGCAGGTGCCCCCCTCTAGAACCTCTAGAGGTAACCAGGTCTATCATCCAGAGCCAGGTTCTCATAGGCTCAGGAAAAGGTGAGCACAACCATAACCACTGTGTTTTTTATTTTTGTTGAAACTTAATACGCTAGGAAGTCTCCCTTTCTCTCTTCTTTGAGGAAATCCATTCCATGCAAAAGGGTGCAATGTCTCCATACGACACTACTGTGCAAGTGATTTGAGCCTGTCCCTTTGAGGCTCTGATCAATGTGAGTTTGACTACTTGAATTATCACCAAAATACATTATCACCTGTGGATTTACACTATATTGTGTTTTATTTTTTGTTTCATTTATATGTACTGATATACATCTGAGATTTAACCCTATTTTAGGGTAAGTTTATACCTTTAGCGCTCCACTCATTTGATTAGTAGAGTCTGGACGTTATATCCAGATTGTACTAAGCTCACTTTGGTTCTATGATGGCCCTGGCCTATTGTGGGAGGCCTTTGAGAGCACCGCTGGCATCTGCCCCCAATTTACAGTGACGCCAGCACTGGAGAGGAGGAAGATCAACCTGCTAGTGAAGGTGGAGTTCGAGAAGAGCACAACTTCCCCAGCTGAGGCGATGGTATCCAGGCAGAGCGCCACTGGCCTCAGCCCAATCCCACTGGTAACCCATGAGCCCAAGGTATCAGATACATCTGGTCCCGCGGAAGAGAGGATCCCAGGGCAAAGCACCACTACCCTCAGCTCTTCTCCACAAGCACTGGGAGATCTCTATCCAGCACAGGTAGATTGGACTATAGTCTCTACCTGTGGTCCCCAGGAAAGCTGGACAGTGGGTTCCAGTTCCCAACCCCATGCCACCCTGTCTTCTCTCCAGCGGCTGAGAGAGATCCCGGGAGATGGGACAGTAAGCATATATATGCTTCAGGAGATATATGCTTCAGGAGATGGAGATGTCAGTTGGGTGAGTGATGCTCTTGCATGGGCAATGTGTTTGGGGTACTGATTTGGTACTTGGTGGGCTGAATGTACTGACTAACTTTGCAGTCAACTCATCTGGGGTCGGGGCGGAGCCAAGCAACTGAAGCGAGCGGTCGCATGGCCGACGAGCTCCGGATCGACAAGCTAAACAAACACCCTTACCGACACTCCAACCCGCGCAAAAACTCTCCCGGGACGGCCCCGAGACCCCACAGGCACGATGGGCAGAAAAACCAAAAAAGCGAGAGCAGACAAGCCCCGCCAGGGCATGGATATCGGAGAGTTATGGAGGCAGGCGCACGATGCTGCAGGAGCCAAGATGGCGTCCCTGCATGGAGGCTGCTCAGACTTCACTGACGGATCATCGGAGGATGATGGGGGAGACCCCCTGGAGTACATGCCGACCCAACCACCAACCCAAGCGCAGCCATCCACTAAGCCTCACACCCCTGTCACAATGGAGGCGATCGGAGCACTTATGGCCGACCATCACAAGAAAATTGCGGATGATGTGGCCTTGCTCAGAGAGGACATCAGAGGCATCACCAATAGACTGGGAGCAGTAGAAGCCTCCTCCACCGGCCACACCAACCAGATCGCAGTCCTCCAAGAAGCGATCCGAGACCTACAACAAAAAGCTCGAGACCACGAACAGCTACTTGCCGCCCACGAAAACAAACATCGTCGGAACAACATAAAGCTAAGGGGGGTAGCCGACACTATCCCAGGGACCGAACTCCCACACTTCGTTAGGAGGTTACTCACAGAGCTACTAACCCCAAAAGCAGCAAAAGCTACCGTCTTAGACGGCATATTCCGCATTCCGCGCCCAGCAAAGGCCCCACCAGATGCAACAGGGGACCTAATTCTCCAATTCCAGTCATTCAAGGACAAAAAAATAGTCCTAGAAACCGTCAGAGGTCGGCCCACGTATCCCTTTGAGGGAATGACCCTCTCATTTTACGCGGACCTGTCGAGAGAGACACTGGCGTGGAGGAAACATATGAGCCCATTCACAGCTCTCTTGCGCCTCCATAAAATCCGGTACCGATGGGGACCAGGTCACACCCTCACTGTTGAAGCAGGAGGTAACAAACATACTCTCCACGACATGCATGAGGCAACTGGGACGTTGAGTCTACTTGGCCTCCCCACGGAATTACCGGCACCGACGACACGACCAACAGGCAAAACGCGCCCGCAAAGAGAATACTCAACCGATGCTCCAGAGTTTGTACCCCGGAGAGCGACCATGGACCCATACGCCAAAGCCACCACCTGATGGAGGGGATACCTTGCAGGACCTGCATAAAGAACTGTATAACGCAGCTGGATTACCTTTGAAGGACTGAACCACAACCCATGAATATTACTCAACCGAAGAATTGGATGAAAATCTTGTCTGAGAGGCGGACAGCTCCATGGAAACCAAAAACACGACCCTCCCGCCGCCAGCCTAGATGGCGACTTCCACACAAAGCCAGTTAAGCCACCAGCTACACTTCCCCTTAGGCCGGTTGCCCACTCATTTTGTACTGAACGCCTTCTATTGGACTTAACTGTGCATCTGAACTAGTTGTATGTCAGTGTAACAGGACTTCACCAGCACCAAAGCCCTGTGGACTAAAACAGTGAAAATGGCGAAATCATTGCAAGGGAATATCATTACTGGAGAATACAGCCGTTCGCCTGGTTCAGACGAATCCCTTTGTCTGAGAATAGGTGGCCGCCATTTCGGGACTTTACACGTGTTCGCGGCCATCTTACGCACGAACGGCGGTGTTTGCCTGTGAACGCATGGAACTAAAAACGGATACGCAAACAGGCGAACGCCGCTGAGACCTCCAGGAGCTCGTAAGTTCGTGCTGAAACTACCGAACGACCGGCCGTTCGGTAGTTTTGTTTAAGCATGCATGGGGATTCAGGCGAACGGCAGGATTACTGTGGAGGGCAAGGGGTTCGTGGGGTTTTTATTCACGAACGGGGACCGACCGCAAGGCCAAAACTTGTGGAACTCTTTTCGGCTGAAAATCCTGTGCGGTCGGTCAAAACTTCAAAGACCCATAACTCCCGAACCCCACAACCGAATGACTTGAAATTTGAATATGTTATTCCCCTGAGTGGTAGCTATTAAGCGGTGCTGGACTTAAAGGTGTACCCCCTGTTTTTGGGGTACATCCAGAATGTGGGTAAATTTAGGTACGTTATAATTATGTTATATGTTTATCTGAGGGGAGGAGACGTGGGGGTGTTACCCTGTGTGTAATTGGTTATTTTCATCCTCCCCCTGGGAGTGTCCTGTGTGTACTTGTTCCTAATAAAAAGCAGGCTGGGTTTCCCAGACCTCAGATCTTCTTGACCCTGCAAAACATAGCCTTGTCTCGTTCTTGGAAGGGGATTATTTGGGAATGTTATTCTGCTCCTGCTACAGCTGAACCTGACTTTTACTCTGGATATCGTGAATGGGATTATACCAGCTTACTCCTCCACAGCAGTGTAACGGCTACCCTGGTAGAGAGAGGGTATCGGCCGTTGGAGACGTCCTTTTTCCCTGCAAGCTGCTG